AATAATAATAATAATAATAATAATAATAATAATAATAATAATAATAATAATAATAATAATAATAATTGCTGTTGTTATTATTTAGAATTATTAGAGGGCCACGCCCATCCAGCAACTGGACAGCAAACTGATTGTTGGGATTTTTCAATCCCACCCCTGATGAAATCTGCTCGATGCCTTCGATATGATCTTACGTGATATCTAAAGCTCGATTCAAGCTTCAGTGTTTCTTCATCTCTTTGCATCTTGTTGCTTAAAAACAAACACAAAATTCAATCCCTCCCTGTGCCTTGGTCCCTTGAGGGAAGCAGAGATCAAAGGGGCCCACACCCCTGTGTTCTTAGCAAATTGCTTGCAGGCTCTCTCATCTATTTCCCATGTACACAGTCATTAATATCTGGTTGGCCGGTCCTTTCCTTTTCGTCAGTTTCACAATCCTTGTAGAAACTTCCCAGGCTGAAGTCTTGCCAAGCAAATGAAACTCAGGTTGTTGCAATATGAAGGCAGCGCATTGTGCTTAGCTGTGTGGGAGAGCTGCAACTGCCTTCAAGGACTGTGGGAGGGGAGGGATTAAACCCCCCACCCCCAAAAATTTTTTAGGATGGAATAGAACATCTGGAAAATGGGTGAGATACGTTGCGTTCCTTGAGTAGGGTAATCAAAAATGAGAATTGTGGGGTCGTTGGTGCTCTCTGAGCTGGGTTGTTTTCTTGCAGATGTTTCATGACCCAACTAGGTAACATTATCATTGCAAGGAAGAGTGAGGTTTATTCCTGAAAAATGTTTACAAGCGGACAACCAAACTCAGAGAGCACTAAGGATTCCACGGACTAATAGAAGAAAATATTTGTAGCTCGGGGTTGAACTGTGAGGTCCTTGGTGCTCTCTGAGCTTGGTGGTTTTCTTGCAGATGTTTCACTACCAAGCTAGGTAACATCATCAGTGCTGGAAGAGGGAGGAGGAGGAGGAGGAGGAGGAGGAGAGGGGGAGGAGAAAGAGGAGAAGTAGAAGGAGAAGGAGAAGAGGAGGAGAAGGAGAAGAAGAGGAGGAGGAGGAGGAGGAGGAAAAGGAGAGGAGGAAGAAGAGGAGGAGGAGAAGGAGAAGGAGAAGAGGAGAAGAGGAGGAGAGGAGGAGGAGGAGAAGGAGAGGAGGAGGAGGAGAAGGAGAAGAGGAGGAGGAGGAGAAGAAGAGGAGGAGAAAGAGAGGAGGAGGAGGAGAAGGAAGAGGGGGATAAGAAGAAGGAGAGGAAGAGCGGAAGGAGGAGAAGTATGAAAAACCGTCACAAGTCACTTTTTATAGAGCCGTCGAAACCGTGAACGGTCACTATAAATGAACAGTTGTAAGACGAGGTCTATCTGTAGTCTGCCGTCAAGGTGACCTCCGAACCGAGGACTTCTTCTGAATCCCTGGGGTTGCATTTTTCACACCGTGTTTCCAAAGTCTTCCGCAGAATTTGGGAGGCAAGGCTCCAAAGAGAAATTATCTCCATTGTGATCTCTGGTGGATTTAATATCTGGCTGCCGAGATAGGTCTGTGCTTAAATCTTTTTTTCCCGATGGAATTGATTGGATCTGGAATAGCGTTCCAGCTCCTCTTATCTTCTAAAATCATCTTATTCTCTAGATCAGGTGTAGCAAGGCTTTTCGGGTGTTAGGTATTTATGGCCCACTCTTTGCCAAAGTTTGCAAGCAAAATACTCCCTTGTGCAGAGTTGGTGGCTCTCCTAAAGGGGGAATAACAATCGATTGCTTTCGCCCCAAGGTCCTAAAAGCCGTGGGAACGTCCTGAACCGTTGATCCAGGTCAGCTTTGGTGCAATTTTAAAAGGAGCTTCTGAGAGTTTCGTGTGTTTTGCAATGTGGTGGCTTATTTAGTTTTCGGAATGACAGAGTGGGAAGGGACCTTGGAGGTCATCTAGTCCAACCCCCCCTCACCCAAGCAGGAGACCTTACACCATTACCAACAGATGGCACTCCAGCCCTCCAGACTGATGCTGACTAGAAAAATCAGGGATGGGCAGCACCGAGAGATTTTTTTTTTTTTTTGAGGTTGCCTGATGATAGGACAGTCCTAAAATAGACGAGTGGAGTCAGCTTCTTAAGAACGGCACTTAATCCAGAATCTTATTTCAGGAAGTCACTGTTTCGGGAAGTCACTGTTTCTCAACTTAGCCAGGTGGGTGGATTCCAATCTCCAGAATGCTTACTTGTAGGGAATTCTAGGAATTGTGGTCCATGGTGATTGGCCCAAAGTCACCCAGACGGCTTTCATGCCTAAGGCAGGATTAGAACTCACCGTCTCCTGGCGATTGACTCAAAGTCACCCAACCGGCTTTCATGGCTAAGGCAAAACTAGAACTCACCGTCTCCTCTTTTTTTCTAGCCTGGTGCCCTTAATCACCAGATCAAAAGGAATCAAGCCAGAACAAAGAAATGGGCCAGATCTCATCCCCATTCTCACCCACCCACTCACACAAACACTTCGCCTCAATTCGGTTCAACGTACATTAAATCCAAATCAGTTTACTGACCGTTCTTGAGTCCATCAGTTGAGGATTTAGCACGCTTTTTACCAAAATCAATCAGCACCCCTTTTCCTCGACCAAAACCCCTGATTTGCAAAATGAGAATTTTATGGGCTTCTCCTTTGGGGAATTTTAGAGGAGGCGGGTGTTGTTTGTTTGCCTTTATTTTATTTTATTTTATTTTGCTCTCAAGGCAAAAAAGCCCAAGCGGTTTTTAGAAGAGAACCGAGCAGAAAGAGACAGGCCTAACACCCCAAGCTAATAATAGGTTGCTTTGCTAAGCTCACCATGCCAAAAAAGAAAAAGAAAAAAAATAGGAGAGAGCGAGGGGTGAAAAATGAGAGCCAAGCCAGTCTAAACTTGGAATTCCATTTAGCAAAGCAGTCGGTCCCTTTGGGATGAGGTCAGCTCACTTCAGGCTCTCCAAAAATACAAGCTCGTGGGGCGGGTTGCAACAGCCCTCCTCCTCCTCCTCCTCCTCCCCCTTCTGCCAATCCTTTCCCCTCCCCAGCGCTGGAGCCTTGCCTATAAATAGGGGGCAGAGTTTGGAAGTTTAGGGAAGCTTCTGGACTGGTACAAGCCAGTTGATTTAAGCTTCTGTCTGGCACAGAGTGGCATTGTTGGTGGATTCACTCCCGAGGAAAAAGGGAAGGCCGGCGCTTTGTTCTTCTACTTTTCTTCTTCTTCTTCTTTTTGTCATTTCCAGAGGGGTTGATTCTTGAATCCCAAAGGTGCTTTTTTTTTTTCCCAAAAAAGGCAACCGGATTTTTTTTTTTTTTTCCTTGAAGACGTTTCGCTTCTCTCCTTCCAAGAGGCTTTTCATATTTCCCCTGGTTCTGAACTTTTAAATTTTGTTGGCTCGGTTTGGACTTCTCCCCACTCCAAAAAAAAAAACTTCTGAAAGAAATTCAGGGTTGGTTGGTTTGTTTTTCCCTTTTTTTAAAAACAAAAACAAAAACCGATTGGGCCAGGAGAAGGCAAAGCAGATTTATTTGCGTCCCGCGCAAACAGGAGAGAAAAGTTGTGCTCGGAATAAGAACTGCGGAGTTCAGATTTAGCCTTTTTTTTTTTTTCCCTTCTTCTTCTTCCTGCACCTGTTGGAAAACTTTTTCGTTCTTTCTTGTTTTGATTCTGCTTTTAGTTTCCTCCCGCTGAATCTCTCCCAGGATGGCTGACAACCAGATTCCGTTCTCGTGCTACCCTGGCCGGCCTCGGAATATCAGAGATCCCTTCAGGGAATCTAGTCTGTCCTCTCGGCTTCTGGACGATGACTTTAACATGCCAGCTTTCCCCGGGGATCTGACCGCCAACTGGCCGGACTGGGCCCGCTCGCCCCTCACCTCAGGCTGGGCGAGCCCTCTGAGATCAGGAATGACCCGGAGCAGCGGTTTCTCCCCTCCGGGCTATGGATCACGTTTTGGGGCTCACCCCGAAGGGGGTCCCTTTAGATCCAGCAGCCCCCAGACTTTTTCGGGCGAGCCCTGGAAAGTCTGCGTCAACGTGCAGAGTTTCAAACCCGAAGAGCTGTCGGTGAAGACCAAGGAAGGTTACGTGGAAGTGTCAGGTGAGAAACGGATTGTGTTGGGTGCGTGTTTCTCAGTTGGGTGCGTGTGTGTGTGTGTTTTAAATTATTTTATTTTTCACACAAACAATTGATTTTGCATTAACAGATAACAGATAATTCGAGTTGGAAGGGACCTTGTAGGTCATCTAGTCCAACCCCCCCCCCCCCCAAGCAGGAGACCCTTCACCAGGGGTCTTCAATCTTGACAGCTTTAAGACTTGTGGACTTCAACTCCCAGAATTCTTCCTCCCCCTCATGTCAGCTCAGGAATTCTGGGAGTTAAACTTGGCCAAGTTTGAAGACCCTTGTTCTACACCATTTCTGACAGGTGGCCATCCAGTTTCTTCTTGGAAGCCCCCAGGGATGAAGCTCCCACAATTTCCAAGGGCAACTTCTGTTCCATGGGTGTTGTAATGACGAGGCAGTCGAGTTGTTTGATCATGAACAACTGAATCATGATGATCGTTATTGGAGTCACAGACACAGATAGATGGGCAGATGGAGAGAGGGAGAGAGAGGGAGGGAGGGAGGGAGGGAGAGAGAGAGAAAGAGAGAGAGAGAGAGAGCCAAAGTCCCTGGGAATTCCATCCCTAAAGCAGGATTAGAACGTTGCTCCTAATCCAGCAGTTCTCTTGGCTCTTGGTTTGAGATGGAAGACCTCAAAGTAATCTAGTGAGCTTCTATGACCAGGGGGAGGACTAGAATCCAAGTTTCCCTACTCTTAATCCAGAATCTTCATTATTGGGCCATCTTGGTTTGGGGCAGAGATGGAGAGAGACTGGCTCAACGTCACACAGGGAACTTCAGGAATCTGTCTTTCTTTCCTGCTAGTCAAGCCCCTTCCCCACTGGACCCCATGGCCTCTTGGGCTGAGTGAAGGACTGGGTAAAAATCCTCTAGGGAGCTTCTGTACCCAAAGGAGAACCTAGATCTTCCCATTCCTAGTCTAGAACCATCTAGACCCCATGGACTCTTGGGATGAACGAAGCTAATGAGAACGTTCACAGGATTCAAACTGAGGGGGTTGTGAGAACACAGGCATGGTATTAACCCTGGTTAATATAGCTTAGTGCATTTGTCTAAAGTAAACCCAGCCAATTTTGAGCTTAGTTAATAAATCACGGAGAATAAAAGATTCTTGAAAGCCTCCCAAGAGAGATTGTGCCTTTAAAAAAAAAATCTGGATGAAATAATAATAGTGCTGTAAAGAATATAGAAAGGAGACAGGCGTGTTTATAGCTGCCCTTTTCCATTTTTTTTAATCCTATCCTAGGAAAATATTAACCCCTCTCTTCTCCTTACCTTCATTTGCAAGTCACAAATGTATTACTTTTAGACTTTTAAAAAAAAATCACGACAAAAGAGAAGGATCTGAATCGTTTTTTCTTGCTATGCCGTGGCACAAAAGAAGCTTTTAGAAAAATGCAGTCCCTTGTCTATTTTTAAGAAGAAAATCTGTGATTAACAAACTTTTAGAGAGAAACCCAAGTCATTGTTAAAAGAAACTCCATGCTTGCTGATCATCTCCTTTTTAAGAACTGCCAGTTTTTTAGCAGGAGGTTTTAAAACGTAGCAAACTTGGCAAGAATTGGCACGTGATTATGTGAAATCAGTCGTGCGGTGAAATTTCTAAAGTTTTGCTGACAAGACAAACCCACCTTTGTCTTTTCACTGTCTAATCTAGTATTAGTGTGGTTAGACAACATGTGTGGCCTTTCTGGTTAGGTAACTCTTTTGACTACAAAGAGTATTGAGTGTTTAAATAAATCTTAAGTATTCGTCTCTAAGGAAACTATCCAAAAATAATACTTTTTTTTTGGTCTTCTTAACTTTATCTCTCTCTCTGTGTGTGTAGGTGTTAAGTATGTGTCTTATCTATTCAACATAGGTGATATTTTGAGTGCAAAGTGCCATTCAACATCCCCGGTTGCTTTTTTTCCCTCTCAGTCTCGGTTTTCCCATCTGTAAAATGGATCCATTCTTTTATTTATCACACACAATTTTTGCCTTATGCAAAGGAATATTTGGAAAATAGCTTTCACATTCGTTCTTTTTGCCTCTTGCTCCTTTGTGGCACGCCCAGAAGCTGGCAGGGAGCGTGGCCATCTGCCAGCAGCCCCATTCTTGCCCGTGAATGCCATTCTGGGCACAGTTTCTTGGTGTTTATAGTGCTACCTCAAACTGCAGCTGTTCCTGGAATCTCAGCCTGCCCACGTGCAGCATGGCGAAAAGGTTAGTTTTTAGAGCTTCAGCCACCATTGAGGGGTAGAGCAGACCAGGAAGCAGAGTGGCAGCTTTCTTCTTCTTCTCCTCCTCCTCTTCCTCCTCCTCCTCCTTCTTCTTCCTCTTCCTCTCCTCCTCCTCCTCCTCCTCCTCCTCCTCCTCCTCCTCCTCCTCCTCCTCCTTCTTCTTCTTCTTCCTCTTTCTCTTCTTCTCCTCCTCCTCCTCCTTCTTTCTCTTCCTCTTCTTCTTCTTCTCCTCCTCCTCCCCCCCTCCTCCTCCTCCTCCTTCTCCTCCTCCTTCCTCCTCCTCCTCCTCCTCCTTCTTCTTCTTCTTCTTCTGGTGGCAGCTGTAAAGCTACAAATAGGTTAAAATACATAAAACCAGGCAGAATTTCAATGCTGGAGGGAGTGAGCTTTTTTTTTTTTTTAATGAAATGTCGAACTCACATTTTCATTAAAAACAGGGAAGCCAAATTTACAGGATTCTGAAATACTGGCATTTAAAATTTATATAATGTAATTTTTTTTAAAATGTTGCATTTTAAAGCTACCGGCCCTTAAAACAGGCGCTGGGTTGAGAACGCCAAATGTTACCCATTATCAGCTATTAATAATATAGCCCCCAGTGCAACATACAGTATTTTATAACTCAATTTTCTTTTTTTTCGCGGCATCAAATTTCAGCTGGAATAGATTTCTTTGAAAGACAGGATTTAGTTAAATGGAAGTGGCTATTTCAGTTGCCCGCAGAGGGAAATTCACAATCTGTTATGCTTCCTTGGAAAAAAAAAATTTTTTTATGCACAGAAAATTAGCATCTGAATAGAAGGCTATATTTTTTTTAAAAAAAGTAAAGTGGTACAAAACTATTTAAAATGTAATCTATAAAATAAAGCTATCCCTTCTTTGGATAGCCACTTTTCCTTATGTAACCTACATTTAACCTTGGTGATAATAAGGCATCTCTTTTAGGCAGAGAGCTCCACATAGGTTGCCTCACTGAGGACTAGAGTGGTGAGATGTTGGAGGCCACCACCTTAAATAACTTTACTAAACCAGGGTTAACTACTGTAGTTCTCAATTCAGCTGTGGGCCCACTTTGCAATGCCACAATTTCGACTTCATCCAAAGTTCCAGAACGGATTAACCAAAACCAGAAAAATGTCTTTATGGGATCAAACAAAACTTGAGGGAATCGGTTGTTCGTTTCATGTTTCTAGTAATATTTATATCTTGATCGTTAGTCAAGAATAGGTGGCGTGTAATGAATGAGAGACAGGTGATAATAAAACTCTTAAGAATTCAATATCAGTAATTAAAGTTTCAGGCTTAGGGATTTCAAGCAGTATTAATAAAAATTTAGAGAAACAGAGTCACTAACCTTTGGAGGGCAAGAATTCTAAAGATAGATGTCATCAGAAAAGGGGGTTTAATTTAGTGGTTAAAGCATCAGGCTAGGAACCAGGAGTTGGTGAGTTCTAGTCCCATCCTAGGCATGAAAGCCAGCTAGGTGACCTTGGACCAATCACCAGGAGACTGGGAGTTCTAGTCCCATCTTAGGTATGAAAGCTGTCAGGGTGACTTTGGGTCGATCACCAGGAGTCTGGGAGTTCTAGTCCCAC